ATACTTGGATCCTTCCCTGTTAGATCTCAGTACTGAAATCTTAGATGGAGATGGAAATATCAGACAGCAAAAAGGTCCATTGCTTATCTGTTGAAGCATTTCTGTGTGGATTGGGCTTCATGTTCAGAATCATAACCCTGCTGAAACATCCTATGATAAACTTACAGTATATAGAATCAGTATAAGGAGAGAGACTTGACATGCTGTGTTGTGAAATAGTGAACACACACCACACTTATTTTGGAACTATCCTAAAATACTTCAGTTTTGCGAAGCTGCATCAAACTAAAAAACTATTAGGATGTGACATTCCTATGAGCAGGATAGGAATCTGATCAAGATGGCATTGATATTGCTAGTAAGGCAGCTATTAGAAGGAAATGGGGAAAGGAGGACCCCCACTGCCATGAACAGTAGATTGGAATAATCGAAAAATCTGCACAATGGAAAAATGTACCTATTGCATGAGACTACAGCAAACACAAGTGGAAGAAAAGTTGGAGAAATAGACATTATTCAAAATCAAAGACAGTGACGAAATATAAAAACTCTACAAACTGGAATAGAGAAAAGAAGCATTAGAAGAATAACTCCAAAACAAAAGGTTTCCTGTTCTATCTTATCGTATATACTGTACCGTAATATTGAATGTGAACTGCTCATCTGGGCTTTATCTGTGAACAAATAAGGAAAATGACAAAAAAAGAAAAAAAGGCTAAAGGAAAAAGAAAAAAAACAGTTTGCTGGCAGTTGCCTCCATACTGGGTTTTCTGACATTTCAGAGTTCATGATACGATGTGGAAAAGAGATCCTTATGATGTAAGACAACCTCCCGCCCCCTTGATTACATTTACTCAGGTTAAATGTGAGATTTAAAGATTACAGATGATGCTGCTGTAGTTACATATAAATTGATCTGATGTTATCAGCAGCAGAGGATGCAGGTTTTGAGGCTTTCTCTCCTCCATCATCCAGCACACCTGACTGTTCAAAGGAATCTTTCAATTTTTGTGTCCAAAAGTTCATCCAAGGGCTACCTATACTTATTGGTGCTGTTAGATCCAAATTGTACAAGTGAAGCAGTAGAACACTGTGCACATACCAATATATTTAGCAATAGCACCATGAGGTTATAGTCCAGGAATGAGGCTAATATCTATGGTGCTCCATCCTCTTCTTTAGGAATAAACATCACCAGAGAGTGCAGGACCTGCTGCATGCGAAAACTGACAAGGCGCCCCAGTTTGAACCCAATTTAGTGATATACTTCTTAATAGTAACTAATTTTGTAATATACTTCTTTCTATGAAAGACTTGTGCAAGTGTTGTTCATTTAAAACTGTTTTTTTTTTTTACGTGCAGTAAATTTCGTTTTAGATCATCAAACTAATTTTAATACCAGAGAAAGACATCCTGATCCACAGGCTTGTTTTTATTCAGCCACATTAAAGGTTTTAAGGAATATAAAGCCTGTAAACAAAACAATAGGGGGACATCCCTCAGTGCTGTAAATTATCTTAGTTAAAAGTTTACAGAAAGATGGAAAATGAAGAGCAGGGTTGAGGTTTTTTCTGCATGTCTTCATAACGTGCTTTAATATTAAAAGGGGGAACTGGTTCTTGTCTCCATGATGAATGAACATCACCATTATTATCAGTGGGTTTTTTTATACAAAACAAAGAAGGCGACTTTAGCTGCACATAATAAGTAGCAAAAATAAAAGACATCAGACATGATTTGGACTCCTACTCTGAGACTCAGGTCTTATTAACGGTTTTCATGTCATGTAGGGAGGAGTGAATGGAAGGCAGTAAATGAGCTAGCCAGTAACACTGCTGACTTATTATAGGATGTTAATAGCTCATAACAATCTGTGCATGTTGGCTTCAGAATAATGACCACATCCTCTATAGCACTTCTGGATAGATGCAAACTACATTTCGCTGCTTGGTACTTGTGACAGTGTAAGGACAATAAAATTGAATTCTATTCTATTTTATTCTATCTAAGAAAGCCTCTCAATATACAGATAATTTACTTCTGACACTGACTAGCTGTTGCTTATCCATCTCAACTGGAAATATTAAAATAAAAGCAAAATTCCTCTAGAGCACAAAAGTTTTAAATGTGGATTAAGATTTTTAACTTTTTACTTAAAATGCGTTTTGTTTAATTCATTCTGAACCATAAAGATAACAGGTTTTAAACTCTTTCTGTTATTTTTTTTTTTCAGAGCATAAAAGTCCATGCTGAGAAAATACTATTATAAATATATTTAAGTGTTATTAATCTACGTTTAGCAGATTGTGGATGGAAAATTAAGTATTCAGTGCATAAAATATAACTGTTAAAAGCTTAAAGGATGCATTATAAAATATCATGGTGATTTAAGCTGCAGGAAAAAAAAAACAACAGGTTTCTATTTCTAACAAACAGCAATAGAGGTGAACAGTATGTTATGGATTTATGAGAAAAGTTCTATTTTTTTCTAATCCAATGACTGTTCTGAGATATAGATTTGGTGGAATCTGGAAATGGCGGTAAAATTATTTATCTGAGCTTAAGAATAGTCATGGATAAATTGTCATTATTTGGTGAAATGGGAACAAACTGATTTCAGACAAAAGATTTAAAACCTGTAACATCAGATTGTAACTATGGTAACACATCAATCATATAGTGTAGTTTGATTATAAGCTATTTAAGTCTTTTAACCTTTCTGGACTTAAATCCTTTAATGATGTAGGTGTATTCTCTTTTTAATAGATAGCACAAATATTAGATCTAATGTGTGTTAAAATGTGAGCAATTATAGTTGCCTAAGGATTATTATGGCCAATCAGCTGCAACTCGGTTTGCTTACACCTTAGGCCTGCTTAATATATCAGTTTGTTTAAGCAAATAGACCAGTGTAGAAAAACAAGCTGCAGTAAAAACTGTTAATCAGACTTTAGGCCTTCATCTGTAGAAGTTAAGGGCGCTAATTGCACATAAGGAAAAATGCAACTGATATTGCTCACTTTTTTTTATTTATTTAAGTGCATATCAGTTATTAGATACATACATTTTAGTGTTATATGATTTATGAAAGTCTATTTGATTTAAGTAGGGAACTGTAATTGTTTATTGATCAACTCATCACTAAAGATATAGACAGGCCTTTTCTAAAGTGATGTTCTGCTGATTATAATATCTAAATGTACATTTTATTTGCTTTGAAAGCTGAACGGATTGAAAATGATGCTTTCCATTGGATCTGATCTAATTCCCATTGTGTTTTTTTTCAGGTGCAGCAGTGGATCAAAACTCCCTTACACTTTTTGAATAATTGCACAGAGCATAAAACATGAGGACAGTCTTCATGCATGCAGAACTCGCAGTGCATCAAATTAAGACAAAGGAAGCACATCAATGCAATGTAAACTTTTATTCCGGTTTGTTTTCCCAACATGAATAGTTTTATTAGGCCCGCAGCCTACTTTAACTCCCACAGATCTACTCGGCCGGCACAAACTGCAAAGCCACTCTAGTCACCTTGAAATTTCCTCTGCTATGTTCCAATTAAAAGCTTAATAGCCCTGGAGACGGGCTCCATGCGGTGAAGTTTACCGGGCTCTTATTCTATACCAGGAGCGCCGCTCGGATCCCATTATTTGCTTGAATAAACCTTTTTTTACGGCCAGAAATGGGCCCCGGCTTTGTCCGGTGTTATGTTTCAATGCCCTCTATTAGTCCGGCGGAGGGGACATATCAGCGTCCTCGACATAGTTCCCAAAGGGCCTTTTATACATGAGGAGAGCTAATCATCTAAGTTATGCACGATTGTGTAAAAAGGTGCGAATGGCGGCGCATGCGCACTCTCACTTTTCTTTGGATTCATTTTTTTGTATTCCAGCCTGCAGGCAACAGAGGAAGTACTACTTATATATAAAAGAGCTTCCATATATGTTTCCTAACATTTTTTTTCCCAGAATAATGCAGAACTCAGTAGAATTATTAATTATCCTTATTAATAGTTGTGGTATTTTTGTCAAAGGTCTGATTTCATCATAAATAAAATGTGAAATAGATTAAAAAATATATATATATATTAATGTAGAAAATGGCTCTGCAATGTGCAATGTTTGAGAGTAGTCTTCAGTTCCACCAATTGATTTGTTCATCGTAGCAAAATAAACAATGAGCAATCTAAAAATAATTTTGCTGTTGACATTTTCTCTTGGGTACCAATCAAAGGATAAAGTTAAGTTTTTTTTTTCACAATTTGCATGATTATCTGAATAAATAAATTATGTTCCGTTATGAAACGAGGAACAGCATCGTCTATAAATAAAGTTTAAAACAGAGCCTTAATCTCTCAATTCAGCTCTTATTTTAAGCACTTTTGTTCTGTTGTGTTTTAGTTATTAACATGTTACACAGTGGGTAAAAATTAAGACTGATGTGGAAAATAATGAAAACAAATTAAGAACAGTATGCTTTCAGTCATTTTTTCCATCAGGTCTTATAAACTGGAAAACATGAACATTTCCTAAATTAAGCATATTTACCCTCAATTTTTGTAGGTAAATGAAAAAGTTTGCCTATGGAATGAGTATTTTTACTATTAAAAGATAATAATTGGATAAAATGCACTTGAAATAAGACGATGCAATTGTGTTTTCTTATTTTAAGTGTAAAATGTCTTGTTCCATTGGCAAAATGTCTCTTTTACCTCCTCAATCCAAGAAAAAATGCACTTATTTTAAGAAAAATGACTTAGATTTCCCTTTTTTCCAGTGTAGTTGGGACTGAAATCCTTCAGTGTTTATGTTGGAGCCCTCAGACTAAACTCTTGGGGTCCTACTGTTAATATGTGGCAGAGTTTAAAGGCGTGGAAATCTCACAGGGAAGCTCCACTTTCTGCCTCACATGGATATTTTTTGCAGCGTGCAGCCGCTTTGACGTGACTGACAGCGTTTGGTTACTCGTCTCCATAAGAGCATGTCATGGTGATGCATATCTGCGCTGTCAGGCGCAGGAAAAGTGGATCCACCGCTACAAGCCAACACCTCTTGTCTTCATCCTGTCATGCGTGCAGGAGAGCAGCTCCTTCCATCTCTTTCACTCATCTCCACCATCCCGCCGCACATGTTTTTGCGCGTCCAGGAAAACTCGCTGCGTCGCACAGAATGAACGGTTACGGATCCCCGTATCTGTACATGGGGGCCCCGGTGTCCCAGCCGAGGGCCCCGCTGCAGAGGACACCCAAGTGCGCCCGGTGCCGAAACCACGGAGTCCTGTCGTGGCTCAAGGGACACAAGCGCTACTGTCGCTTCAAGGATTGCACCTGTGAGAAATGCATCCTTATCATCGAGAGGCAGCGCGTCATGGCGGCGCAGGTGGCGCTCCGGAGGCAGCAGGCGAACGAGAGCCTGGAGAGCCTCATCCCGGAGTCCCTCAGAGCGCTGCCGGGCATCGGCATGAGCGGAGCGGCCGAGGGGAACCAGGGGGCCCCGCCAAGGACGGAGGAGCTGGAGCTGAGGTGGAGCGGCTCAGAGCCTCTGCAGGCCGGGGAGCAAACACGCTCAGGTAGGAGAGGTAGGAGCACAGAAGGTGGACAAAGAGTTTACTTTATAATGTTGATGTTATACAAGAAAAACAACAACATAAAACACTATGATCACCTTTCCCTATTATAATAATAATAATAATAAAAAAAACTAATTAGATTTATTTCACTTCTAGACAATTTACAATTACAAACGTTTAATTTTACTTTTTTTTTCCTGACAGATTTTGAAAGTCTTTACATTTAAAAACAAGGGGAAAGCATGAGACTTTTCCTGGACCAATAATAAAATAAAATAAAAACCTGTTAAAATCTGTTTATATCACCAGAAAACATTTTACCAAGTGATGAAATATCAAACATGTGGAAGCGTTTTCGACTCTAATTAAAAAAAAAAAAGAAAATCCTGTTTTTTAAAATCGATTTTAACATTTATTTACTTCAAAATTATAGTTTTAAAAGCTTATACAATTTATTTAAAATGCAGCAATTGACAGAGGCCGTTAAGGAAATATATTCTTAATAATAAAAGCATGAGTTCAGATTGTGGGTAATATAAACATATAAATGAAAAAGCAACAGATCAAATCAGATCTAACCTCACTCTGTCATTTTCATTTTTTTTTAAAGGCAGATCGGGAGGAAACAGATGCAGTTAGTTCTGGCCTATCTCTGTATCTTCTGACAAATCTTTGCCTCTCTGAGGAAACCTGCTGTCAGACTTTTGACTCAGATCTGATGTTGCTTGGTAACATTTTATCTGATGGTGACCCTGGAGCTGTGATCAATCTGATTACTGTAATATTTGAAAATAACTCTGCTGTAGAGAGTTTATTCGTTCCCTCCTCTGGTATTTTCATTCTCTGTTTATTCAGACTTTTCACCACTTTTGTTCTCAGCTGATTCCTCTCAGAACCAGCTTCCCCCTAAATAAAACACTTATATAAAAAAATGCCTTTTTTTTTTTTTTTTTACATCTGAGAAAATAATTTATAGGATCATAAGCAGCTGAAATTAAATGCATTATAAATAAAAAATAGATTTTATTTTAAAATAAAAAAAAATCTATATATTCATATACAGATTTAATTGAACAAACTGGTGATTAAATAACATTGTGGGTAAAATCACCTGTTGCAAATGAATTAGTTCGTAATATTAAGATTTTTTTCCTTTCTCTGTTTTGGACATGCGCACTCATGTCATGGTCAACTGGATTTTTGCTGTTTTTATGAGTCTTGAATGGTTTTTTTTTTTTGACAGAAGCTGCAGATGAGGGTCCAGATGAGGCTTCAGGAGGGGAGAACACAGGCAGCTCCAGTGAGAAGGAGCAGGAACCGGTCAGCTCTCCTGAGGGCTCCAAACCAAACTCCTGCTACACCCCGGAGCCCGCAGAGATCGGCCCCCAGCAGGAGGAGAGCCGCTACAGCCTCCCTAAAGCCGGCAGTGCTGAGAAGGAGGTCAGAGCCGAGAGTCCTCAGAGACAGCCCTCCAGCTCCGGGGACCAGAGCCTGCTGATTGAGGGCCTCTCCGGCTCCATCAGCCTGCCGTTCAGCCTCAGGGCCAACAGGCCTCCGCTGGAGGTCCTCAAGAAGATCTTCCCCACGCACAAGCCCCCGGTGCTGGAGCTGATCCTGCGGGGCTGTGGGGGGGATCTGGTGGGAGCCATCGAGGTTCTGCTGTCCAGCAGGAGTCCGGACGGAAGCGCGCCCCCCCAGACAGAGCCTCACCCGGTTCCGGAGGGCCTGGTTCTGCCTTCAAACGGACACCTGTTCGAGCACACGCTGGGCTCCTACCACCCGGTGTCCTCCTCCGCTAAGTGGTCGGTCGGTTCCGCCTTCCGAGTCCCGGACTCCCTTCGGTTCGGTTCGGACTCCGCGTCGGGCGCGCTGGGCGTCCCCCTGCAGCATCCGTCCTTCCCGCAGCCCGCGCGCTACCCGCTCATGCTGCGCAGCTCGCTGACGCGCAGCCAGAGCGGCCCCTTCATGCACAACGACGTGACCCTGTGGAACACCGTGGCCCTGCAGCAGCAGTACCAGCTCCGCTCCGCCGCACAGTACGTCTCCCCCTTCGGCCCGGCGGCCCCCGCGGGCCCCGGGGCCTCGGTGTTCCGGAGCTCTCCGATCATCCCCTCCAGAGCCCCAGAGGAGCAGCGCATCAGCATCCAGGAGGAGAGCTGCGCGCTCGGACCCAAAGCGGGCCTCTACTCCCCGGAGGAGGAGTACGAAAAACGCTCTGACTCCGCAGACTCCAGCATCCTGAACTCATCCTCCTAAAACAGGAGCTGGATGCTGCACAACCAACATGGGAGATATTGTGTTGCTTAAACTGAGCAACCTGGACAAGATGTCAGCGACTTGGCCAAAAATGGATGAATGTACCAGACTGGGCTTTTTTTCTTTTTTCTGTGAGCATGTTTATCTAATGTAAGGATCAACTCTGCATGTCCAATATGCCAAATAAACCTGTTGCCCAAATGGATCAGCTTGGTTTCTCTAGCGCTGAATTACAGTCCCTGCATTTGTGTTGGGACTCCTTTGGTTGTGTTTATTGTTTCCTAAAGTATGCAGCTTTTATTCGTCTGAACTGCTGCAGTTTAAATCCAAAGATGAAATTACCCCTCATTAAGTTTGAATTCATTTTTTTTTTTTTAATCTAAGTAACATTTAGCTATTCATTGCACTGTTAAATCTGTGTGACAATTTATCCCACAAATGGGTTACAGCAAAATTGTCTGATAATGGATTAAATATATGAGAACATTCATATTAGCATTGGGATCTCTGTCTAATAAAATGTATTATTTTATAATTAGTATGGAAAGTCATCACGAATAGAACAAATAAAAATAACGTCTGTCCAGTAAAAGGGTGTAACTTCGCTAAACATTACATATATATTTTTTTTTAATTCCTGTCAGTTATAGACCTGAACATTTCTAATTCCTTTTTCTATTCATCATTTTTTATTTTATTTTGTTGAATACACATTATAGTTTCCATCATTCTTCTCCCTGGGGTCCTGAGGGGTGCTGGTGCCTATCTCCAGCTGTCTATGGGTGAGAGGCGGGGTACACCCAGGGCAGGTCGCCAGTCCATCGCAGGGCAACACAGAGACAAACAACCATTTACGCACACACTCACACCTAAGGAGAATTAAGAGAAGCCAATTAACCTAACATTCATGTTTTTGGACTGTGGGAAGAAGCCGGAGTACCCGGAGAGAAACCACGCATGCTCAGGGAGAACTTGCAAACTCCATGCAGAAAGACCCCGGGCCGGGAATTTAACCCAGAACCTTCTTACTGCAAGGCGGCAAAACTGATTCTAGGAGTTTTCACTGCAGCAAGTTATGATGCTCTGCATTCATGAAGCAGTTTATTACTTGGATTATTAATTGCAGGTAAATGAAGGCAGGTTCTGAGTCAGATTTTTAAACTTTATCTCCATAGGTCGATGTTAAGGAATGATGCAGACTTTCTTAAATAGTTGATTCCCAATTAAGTCTAAAATGGTCCAATTGCTGCAGTCAGATGGAAATTTATCTTACAGGTGATAATCTGTGTCCTGCTAGTTCCCTTCACGTCCTTAAAAAGGTCCGTTACCATTTTATCTGACAGTTGTCCATTTCTATAAATATTACATGTATGTCTTCAGTTTAATAAACCCTTTATCCATTTCCTCCCTCAGGGCTGTTCCTATGATGAAATAAATGGAACACCGACATTTGTTATATATGCATCCTTCTGAGTTTTTTTAATTGAAAAAAAAAAAAACAAACTTATTCAAGGACATTTGTTCTGAGTGTTAACAGTGTGTAGTTCAATCACTGGATTTATTTCCTCTGCAGAAACAGGTGTCGATTGTGATGCTTAATAATGATAAAACTATCATTTTGAGTCATAGATCTGTTTGTCCAGTTTACTTCCGATTTTTTATGTTTAATTTTTAACCTTAGTGTACATTTTGTAAATGTGCATTGGTAAATAATGTTTACCTGGAGTTTTTTTAAACTTGTCAATGCTGCCATCTAGTGGCTATATCGAAAACTCCAACTTGCTGCTGGTTAAGGCAGATGTTTTTCTTTAGATCTAAAACACACTTTCCTAAACACTGAAAATCTTTGGCTATTATGCTCTTCTAGTCGCTCCTACAGATGAACTTTATCTTTCATGTCTTTTTCTACACATATCAAAATTCATTTAAAGAAATAATACTTTCTAAAATGGGGGGACATATTCATATTTACTCAGTAGATATAAACAATCTTAATTATCTTAAATGATTTTGTGATTTTGGCTACCAAGTTAAAAAAAAAAAAAAAAAAACTACTGGATTTATGATGTTTGTCGTGACTCTCAGTTGGATCCAAATCAGTGATTCTTTTAGGAATTATTACCAGACAAAGATAAGCTGAGATAAAACCAAAAAGTACTTTTTTAAAAACAAGATTTCATTCATTGAGGTAAAATGTAAACACAGATACCTGGGACTGGTTAAAATATATATTTAAAATACCATTTAAATCAATGATCCATTTAAATTATCCAAGACAGATTAGTTTAATTTATTCAGACTTGATTACAGTCAGATACATCAAGAATTCACCTAATTACATCATGCCTGACTACATGAAGTAGTTTTAAAATATCTCAAAAGCAACATATAATGCCCCAATCTGAGGTAGTTCAAGAGCAGATGTGAAACAACTTCATGGACGGACATATCCACAGAGCTGTGTGCAGGTTGTGTGTGTTGCTTCATCTCTTTCATTACAGGCTGTGACCAGTAAGTCATTCAACAGCATCGCCAAGGCTGAACAGGAGGAGAGGAGCAGGTTTCCCTGAGGCTGATGCAGATCATTCCTACCCACTGATCAGGCCTCTTTTGCTTGTCATCTTTCCATGAAAATGTTAATGATTGCCATGTCTGAAAATAGATTTAATCATCATTTTAAATCTAACCTCTGTGTTTACTCAGGCTGTATAATTGGATTTTTGAATAGTTCTCCAGACAAAAAAAGTCTTAATTTAGAGACTGAAAGTCTTTAAGGGGGGGACAGATCAAAGTTAAAGATTGAAATCAGTACCTTGATCTATTAATTCTCATGCTTAGCAATATCTGATGACAGAAAGAAAGAAAGAAAGAAAGATAGAAAGAAAGAAAGAAAACAAAAAAGAAAGAAAGAAAAGCTTTTCTGATTTCAAACATGTCTCTTCTAATGGAATCAGTTATGATCATCGTGCTGTGACTGCCATCTAGTGGAGGAACTGTGGACTTCAAATTTCCCCTCTAATTTCTGTAGTACAAACACACAATTTAGTGCATTTGTGGTTGACATGATGTAGAACAAATGTAATACAATGACACATGCCTATTCTCAAGCATGTCTTTATTACTACTGTTAAAAAAGACCTATTATTTTCTAGAATAAAAAAACAACTTTAAGTCATGTTTGAATTGATGCAGCTTGGGCTGTGTTTTACTCACCTAATTCTCTTCATATATTCAGAAACTAGAAGGTATTAGCTCTCAAATAATGTATCACACATGTAATTTGGGCTTACAGTTCCTAAGTAATTTGCTTTTCCATTTTGGTATGCAAAATGGGCAAGGGGGATGTTTAGAGGTTAAAGGAAAAGTCCAGTCAGCAAGGAATGATCAATGAATCATTATCTATACCTAAAACTAATAAGTTAGCGGTGATTTGATGAATTTATTGCGATCACTGAGTCCAGGAACGGCCATTTTGGCCGAAATATGGTAACACCTCATTCCTGACATCTTCCAGCAGTGACGTCACGGTGGGGTAAGCCGAAGGCCACTCTCCTTGCTTTACAAGCAAAATCAATGGGAACTATTATACACATCCTCAATCAACAACAATTATTTTAGATTTCGAGAGGATTTCACCATTGAAATTTGTGAGAGCTATAGTTAAACTGACAATTCCCATGTGCATGGGGGAGTTGGATGTTGTAATAATTCGGGTAAAAGTGAAAAAAAAAATGTGTTATTTCACCTTTCTGATTCATCATCTTCCAAGGACAGGTTCATCATTGGATTGCAAACGCGAAGAGAGAGGATTTCCCATCGGTGAATTAGCCAACATTTCGAAGAAGAATGTTTTCAAGATGACTTGGATAATAGCGCATTGTGACAAACACCAGATGCAGCACTGGGACTTGATCAACAGCCGATACCGCACCGTGACGTCACAGACCGGTAGGTGGCAGTAGTGTTCTTTGACAAACATGGATGTCTCTGGTAAAGCACATTCAAATGAAAATTTCTCTTAATTAAAAACACTCATCACTTATTGAACAGTATTTAATAATTTTATATTTAAAGTACTTTAAGATGTTTTAATTCTGAATATGAGAGGACTTTTCCTTTAACCTTTTTACATATCCTCTATGTTGGGATTTCCAAGAGAGAAGAACCAATGAGAAGAGATTAACTGCACCAAAAAAAATGCATGTGGATAAACAACGATTCTATTTCAAAGGAAATCTTGGGTTCGATAAAAGAAAAACATTAAAGTTTTAAAAATGCTTAAAAGAATAACCTATTTTAAGAATACAGATGTTGGATTGGGAAACCACCTCAACAGATCCTGTGTGTGAGTTTTCTGACAGCTGTACGACACGTCCTCCTGTTTGTTGCACGTTGGCCAGGAGAGGTCGAGGTGTCAGAGCTCCTTTAGAGACGGAGACAAATGTTGTCCCGCCTGGTTTTTCATTCAACAGCATGTGTTGTCTGTCCATCAGAGGCTAATTAACATAACAGTGATCCTGCACCGCCTCTCTGTCTATCCACAGCTCCTGTTACAGTTTACAGCCTGCTCAGCAGGACACTTCCAACAAGATGCTGTTGTTTCAACCAGGACCCAAAATGACAACAAGCAGCATGTGAGAAAGGCTCTCTAATGATTAGGTCATCAGCTGGTCCCTCTCTTTTCAAAAACAGACTCCAAATACACAAAAACTGTTAAATTAGGTTTTCATTTGTTTAGACAAATGCTTATAGTTAAAAATCCAGAAGGAATGAAAGGAAACAGTAAAATAAGACGATGGTTTCATAGATGCAGATAAAGCCTTTATTCTAAACTGGCATAGGATGTACTTAAGCAGATATCAGATGGGCTTATAATTGCAGTTTAGGAGAATAATGAGATCAAGACAGGAGAGTTTGAGAGTAAAATACTTTGAACCAAAAGGAAATTCCCAGACTGGAATATCCCCAAAGAATTCCTCAAAGAATTTTTCTGCCAACTCCTTTTAAAGTTCTTACATGCCAGAAACCCCGGGAATCTGGAATCCATTCCAGAACCCCAGGAAACTACTCAATGGTTCCCTGTCTTCAGAAACTACCAAGGATTTTGTTCAAGGAACCCAGAAAACTTCACTTGTCTGGGATCAATTCAGATATTTCTACACCCTTTAGTTTTAGCTTTAATCTGTTCTTCTTTCTGTATATTTTTTTCAACAATGAATAGAATATGCCTTTACA